ACACACACGACGCGCGCTACACACACACACACACACACACACACACACACACACACACACACACACACGCGCGCGCGCGCACACACACACACACACACACACACACACACACACACACACACACACACACACGGCTAATCTAGCTTACACAAACGGAAAACGGCAATGCGCTCGATTTCCATTTACGGCTGGCGTACATCAAACGTGATCAGACCCGACCGAATCGTTAAATTACTTTTTATTGTTTTTTCCATTTTTCCTTTGTTATTTTTGTTCGTTTTCTTCTTTCATTTGTTTTTTTCTTTTGTTCTTAGTGACTTCTCTTGCCTTCTATCTTACAACAATTCCCAATCCCTGATTTCTTATCATGCGCTTTCAGAACTCTTAAATTTGACGATTGAACGACGCGAATAAAGTAAACAAATTTTGTTCTCAGGCCATTCTATGAGGAAGACTCAAGCAAATTGGCCTCTAGTGCGCATGGCCATGGGTCACACCCAGCACCACCACACTCTGGTCTCAACATGAGAAAACGAAAAAAGGACATTCCTCTACAAAAAGCCAAGTTATTGAAGGCAAAAAGACAGGCTGAATCAAATAAAGAAAAGCAAGCTACACGATCAGAAAATACGACAAGAAGAAGCATAAGCCTCCGAATCTTGCTCAGCTACTCAAACACGTCGAACATCTGATGGACTAGAGCATCAAGTAGCAAAAGCCTCCTAATCACATTTAGCTACTGAAACACGTCGAACATCTGCTAGACTACTGCTCCAAGCACAAAGACGTGTCGTCTATTCAATTTAGTGTCATCTAGTTCAATGTACAACAAAAAAGACTAGCCTGTCGAATACCAGCAACTGAATTAACCGAAAAAGATCTACCTCCTACAATTGTTAACTTTAAGCAGCCCAATATATGGCAGAATACATGGGATCACTGCCAAGCCTTCAAGTTTCCTCACGACCAACCAGCAACATGTTGTAATCATGGCAAAACTGTTATACCTCCCGTTCATGACCCACCACATGTTCTACAAAAGCTTCTGGTAAAAAAAACAAAGCATTCAAAAATAACATAAGAAGTTACAACAATGCCTAGGATTTGACAAGAGCTTCTGGTAAAAAAACCAAAGCATTCAAAAATAACATAAGAAGTTACAACAATGCCTAGGATTTGACAAAGAGATCATTGTGCCTGGTTTCTCACCAAATGTCAAGATTCAGGGGAGAATATGGCACTCCATAGGTATACTCTCTTTCCACAGGATGGTCAGAATAAAAAATTTGCTGAAATCTACATCCACAATGGAAACTATGAAGAGGAAGCTCAGAGAAGAATTAAGATACAACGAGACAATAGTTGTACCTTGTCTGAGCAAACTATGTACACTATACAAATGATGTTACATCACAACAATCCATCCATCTGTTGCTGAACACAACAGAATGTACAATTTACCTCAAGTCAATGAAGTCTTCCTACTAGCATTAAATGATTCCAGTGAGTCAGCTGATGTCGTCATTTACCTAAACGATGGTGGAATTCAGCGCATAAACGACCTCAACAGAGCATCTGACCCACTGCATTTCATTCTCCTTTTCCCACATGGCGAGGATGGCTGGTATGTAGACCTACATCAAACCAAGCAGGATGGAAGTAAAGGCAGCAAAATCTCTCCGACCATGTTTTACAGCCACAGAATTCAGGTGCGACAGGGACACTTCAATCATATTGTCAGATCTGGAAGACTGTTTCAAGAATACCTGTGTTCAGTCTGGTACAAAGTAGAGAGGTGCAGGCTAAACTGGTACAAACTGAATCAGAAGAAGATTCGCGCAAAGAAGTACAACGGTCTCATGGATGGTTTCCATCGATCAAGTGGGAGACGTGAATAGGTGCCCTGCCCTCTATAACCATATAAAAGCTTTATTTAAGCACTGCCCCATCTTATCCGATATCCCCTCTTACCCAGGTCTCCCCTATTATATTGACATGGATAGCGAAAAATCTATATCCTAATAGCAAATGACGCAAATCACGCTCGACTCAGAGTGAAGTGCCTTGGGCGTTCTTGACCGAAGCAGCAGCTGAACAATCACGCATGAGAGATATGCTATTCAATGCGAAAGCGTGCTGGCGTGTCAGACTTGAAGGTATCATGTATGTTGCCATGTGAGATACGCTACAGGAACCGGCATGTTACCTTTTTTTTAAATTGTTGAAAGTTCTTTTCTGTTCCAAAATTGATTTCCAGTTTCAGATTACAGACACACACACACGCCTACATGCGCACACGCACGCACGAACGCACGAACGTACACGACAACACATACACACGCTCGCCAGCGATAGATAGATAGATAGATAGATAGATAGATAGATAGATAGAAAATGTTTGAAGTGTTTGAAACATTGTGTGGACAGGTACGTTTTGTTTTCTTTTTGGAACTATATGCGGTTGAATAACAGTGAACTTGACTAGCGCCATTAGTGTAACATACGCGTTGTTAAACATCAAATTCAACTCGAAGGCCACAATACCAGTTACTTGTAGTTAATCGTGTGCGCCATTGCATGCTTGCGTGCATGTGTGCGCGTATATGTGCGCGTTCGCGCGAGCGCGCGCGCGCGTGTGTGTGCGTGCGTGCCTACGTGTGTGCGTGCGTGCGTGCGCGCGCTTGTGTGTGTGTGTGGGGGGGGTGCGTGCGTGCCTGTGCGTGTGGTATCTATTTATCAATCCATTCATCCACCCATCCACCCATCCTTCTCTCCCTCCATCCATCCATCCATCCATCCATCCATCCATCCATCCATCCATCCATCCATCCATCCATCCATCCATCCATCCATCCATCCATCCATCCATCCTC